CCTTAAACAAATATTTCAATTATTACTATTACGAAAACATTAAATTTAGTGAAAGAATTTTTATAGTAGCAAATGTGTAAACCTAAGAAACTATAGTGAAATAATTTATTTTAACCATGAAAACAAAGTATTTTAAGTGAAACATTTTTATAGAAGAAATATTATTAAATTATCTTTAAATAATATAATTTTAAAATACATATATATATATATAATTAATACCGTACTCTCCTCTATTTGTTGGTTCATTTTTTAAAAAGTGTTTACTCCCATGGAGTTATGTTTTTATTTCTATTTTTGTTCCTTTTTTAATATGAAATTATTTCACTTTTATTCCGAAACATACCTGAAAAATCCAATTATTACGTATACAGACATGAAGACGTACATCAGACACACACACATACACATTCACATACATATATACATACATATATACATCCATACATACATACATACATACATACATACATAAATATATATATATATATATATATCTAAATATATGTTTATGATTACGTGCTGTTGAAATGAAATAAAAAACAAACAATAAAAGGAAATAATAATCAAGTAAGAAGTAAATAGAAAAAAAAGAAGATTGTATATTATTTGTAAAGCTCTCCTCCTTTCAGTACAGGTAAGTGTCCACTGTCGTTTATAATGGAGCAAAAGGGTGTTTAAGGAATAAAAAAAAAAAAAATTTTGCAAACTATGAAGAACTGCTGGAAAGTTATAGCGTAATGTATTACTTGTTGATTTCTCGCTTTTCTAATCTGTTCAGAATGTGTTTACATTCATCTTCTGAACAAAACACGTTAGCGTAGCTTCTCTGAGCCAAGCGTTTAATGGATAAGAGATGCAGATCAGCTTAAAAGCTTGCATTATTTTTGCCAAGAGTTAAAGTGTTTGGGATGAAGCTAGCAACGGTGGTCGCCGACGAGGGCTCTGATTTTGCTATTTTTGAATATTATCCCGAAATAAGTTCTTTTCCTAATACCTAAAGTTATGCTTAATATCTTCTTCAAATATTTTTATTCTATTCCCTTTCCTTCCATCCAAAAACTGTCCTTTCGATGGGCCAAAATCCTTACAAGAAATCTTATTTGAGTTGTCATCCGTCTTTTGCCTCGTTAAGCTATACCCCAGAATTATGGATAGAAAGGTTTTCATCGCAATAGCGAATCTTCTGATCCTTCATTACATTTGTGAGGCTTTTTCTCAGGCTTTCTCTACAACTCATCTCACTGTCGCTCCATAAGCATTATTTTAACGTGACTGAAAATCACTTTTGATTAGCTACTGAAGATATTGGCACGAAATTTGATAGAGATGTTAGTGAGGAAGTTTTCAACCTGCGAAAAATAATTATTAATTTAAATAAGTCCGCACAACGTAAATGGAGGAGAAGGGTTGATCACAATATTGCCTAACAGGAAAGTCTCTATAATATGCAATTTTCTGATTCAGTTTAGCCACACTCTTTTTGGATATCTTCTCTCTCCTACTAGTATATAGATATCGCAGCTGAAGCGTAAAACCAGATAACTAAAATTATAACAATCAAATGGAGACAAATAAAAAGCCTGCAGTTGGCCCTATAGTGGGAATGTACCTTACACTACCCTACAATTATTCATATAACGACTTTTCAAAATGAAGGTCGAAAAAATGGTCCGATCCAAGCTTATACCGAAAGAGATAGTAATTCGAAAAGTGATTATGATTATCGGTTTGAAGAGTGAGAAAGTTATTCCGAATCGATCGGTGAAATAAATGGTGAATCTATCACAAATTCTTCTGGATATTGCATATATGCGCACAACCTTACTGCCTTTAATGTTTGGTATAAAAATTCCTAAAATTTGTATATTAAAATAAATAAAATAACATTTTTCCAGTTCTAAACTAAAAAACTCATTTCTTTTTTTGCATTTAACATAAGTGGGAAGAATGCCATTGAGATATGGCTTATAAGTCCAAAATTAATATACGCATAATGTAAAGTGTTCTTTCCTAGTTGTTTTCTTAAATGTAATTGACATTAAAATATCAAAAATCTCTTTTTTGCAGAAAATTCTCCTACGAATCAAAATATTTATAAATAACAGCAAACTGTTAAGCATTTGCCGCAAATTATTTTTTTGTTTTCTTTGCTAGTCGTCCTTCTGATACTGCTAACACAATTTTCGTTACTGTTGCTGTTGCTGTTGTTTTTCTGTTTTAAGAAAAAAAGTGAGCAGACACCACGTGTTCGGTCAAATGTTTACACTCGCAATCTGGGATTCTGCGCGTTTCAAAAAGAACATTTTTTACATTTTACTGCCAACCATGAGATTAAAGAAAAGTTGAGATAGCGTGATATCAACAACAATATCAAACCAATACTTACGCAATGACTACTAGTATACTATTCAATTTCTCGAAAAGCATAACCAAGCCTACCTACATACCATCCTGAGAATACAACCACCAGCACACAAAGATTGTAATGGACGACATATTGTTTTTAAAAAGACTATTTTACCGAGTGATTTGACAGATTTTTTACCAACAATTTGTAGATAATCATGTAATCTACACCAACTGGACTCATTGCCAATTCGTTGTTATATTTTCAATGCGGCTAATAACGAAGGGGGAGATTACCGCATGACGTCATAACTGACGCCTAACATCTGCACTATATGCGATAAAGTTTTTTCTATGTATTTGCCACAAGCAGAATAGGAGATGAGTTTGAAAAACTGTATATTTATACACTGGAATGCTTAGCTCCTGTTCAAGTTGATTACGTAGTAAATTGCTGATTATATTCTCAGCAAACATACACATACATATATAACACACACACCTACACGAACACACACAGACCCAAAAAGAGAGAGACACACATGTGCTTTGGTAAGAGACAATATATTGATGTCAGAACAATATATTTTTTTTTCTTTACTGAGATGCTACTCATAGTTAACAATTAAATTGGAATGTACATTATTTTGTTACCCTACTTACCAGTTACGAGAAATATTTTGGATTATATTGAAATTTCAAGTTTGATATAATGTCCAATTGTGCATCAATTGTTCGCCCAAACTTCGTATAAGAAATGCAAAGTTAATGCTCGTAGATGCATTTGCGAGATTCGATCGAATCGGATGAAGCGAAACATGACTCTAGTAACTAACTCAAGGATTGAATCAACTTTCAAAATTTCAACATTCACTTGCTATTCGACTGATTACTAAAACAACATCATAAAGTAGGCATTTTGCCTAAATGACTCAATGAAATAGTTATATAGGCGTATATTTGCCTTAAGTTGTGGGTATCACAGATTCGGTTTGAAGCGACTACTGTTTGTTTGCTTAACAAAATAAATTGCCAAAAAATTTTATGCAATATATTTGCTAAGATTTTCTTTCTATAAAACTGTATATGTGTATGCGTATATTTTTATGGAAGATAAAAATGTAATGGGCTTTTATAATCTTTATTACTGGCTACAAATCTTCAAAGCTAAGTCTGCTTTCGCTTGCATATGCATAAAGTTTTTCTATATAAAGGAGCCTTTTAATGTATTCGTAACTAAGCCGATTGGTTTTTTAAGCTTTATTGCTTTAATTATCGAATTACGAAAATAAACATTTCGATTTTCTATACAAATTTTTAAGATGATGCCTTGTAGATCTTTTCCAACTTGACTTGTTGGAACTTGGGCACAATATTCTTCACTTTCCTTCATAAACTCAAAGTTTGCTATAATCACTACGGATTGAAAAGCTATCTCTTCCTAACGAGAAAAATTGATTTAGAAGTCAGTTAAGCTATCTGACACCTATAGGTACAAATTAAAGCAAAAGCGAGCGGAGAGTATAAGTTTGTCTGTCTGCCCCCTGTCTGTTTTCTTGAGACAAACAGACGAGCTTAGATCAATCCAAAATTACTTTCAAGCAAATTTAGAACAACAGAGAGGAACGGAACAGAAGAAAGTAAGACAGACAGACGGAGATGTAAGCTTAGATCAATTCAGAATCACTTTAAAGCAAATTTAGATCAACAGAGAGGAAAGGAACAGAAGAAAGTAAGACAGACAGGCGGACCTATAAGCTTAGGTCAATCCAAAATTACTTTCAAGCAAACCTAGACGCTTGAGCGCTTGCTTTAAGGAACAATGGCTAATTGTTAAATTATAGCAATTGTATATGTACGCTAGCAGGTTAAATGTATGTATGTATGCATACACTAGTCTACCCCCTTGCGGTTTACAAAATTTATTAATACATATCTTCAGTCTCGTTGTTTTGCAATGTGATATGTGTACAGTGGCGATTTTTTCACCGTGTCTTATATCTTAATCGCGAGAGTTGAGGAAAACATCGAGATCGAATTAGTTTTTCGAGAAAACGGTTTGAAACCGCAAAGTTCGATTCCTTCACGAAAGCAAAGACGGATAGATATGATGTTGCCATCTCTCTCATTACTCTCTCTGGTAGAATTTTCGCACTCAGGAGAACTTGAGATAAACCCATCTTTTTTACTGCCATACAATTCAGTATCGCTTTTTGAATCGATCTAAGTTCTTCTGTCCGTCTGTCTGTCTTGTTTTCTCGTGTTCAGTCTACAGCCTGCAATTTTTGAGATATTCTAATGAAAATTTTGGTACATTTGAGTGTTTTTTGGCCCAAACGCGGGCCCTATTAAAAATTCGGATCCGATCATTTTCTCGGCCACTTTCCATGTAATATAACTCTATGGCGGTGTTATAAATTTCATGTTGCGCTGTGGCCCACTATGGTGTTTTTTCTTGTCTTACTTTATATTTATTTATTGAAAGACGTTTAATTAATAAACATACTACGTGAAATTAGTGCATTTTGGTGCACAATATTTATTG